TTGGGGTTTAGGGTTTAGGGTTTGGGGTTTGGGGTTTGGGGTTTGGGTTTAGGGTTTGGGGTTTAGGGTTAAGGGTTTGGGGTGTGGGGTTTGGGGTTTAGGGTTTGGGGGTTTGGGGTTTGGGAGTTTGGGGTTTGGGGTTTAGGGTTTGGGGTTTAGGGTTGAGGTTTTAGGGTTTAGGATTTTTTTTCGAAAACCGGGGACCCTAATATATAGTACCCTAAAGAGTAGGATCCTCATTAATAGGACCCCCAAAATACTAAGGCTGCCATTATTCTCGGAGACTCCCTATATAGGTTTCAGGCTTAAGGCGCCGCGGGTTTTGGGTCTGCTTACCCATGGGCCCCATAGTGGTTCCTTTTGGGGGTTACCTTATAGGATTCTATATATGAACCCCAAAAAAGAACTAGGGCCTCTGCTTAGTTCTCCTCACCAACTTCGGCTCACGAGGGCGTAGGCGTCAGGGTCGAAGATGGTTCTGCCTACAACGGTAAGCCCTCGACCCCTAATCCAGGGCCCAGCATGATGCCCTAGTTCCCAGATACCCAACCTTTAAACTTTTTTGGGTGCTTATATATTTTAGTAATAGTCTGAAAGTTTAACCTTTGATTTCCCTGGCTTATTGGGGAAGTAAGGATGCTGACAGCTTAAACTTGTCTTTCCCTCGGTCGTTGGGGATGGGCCCTAAGCCCTAAATCCTGCGAAGCCTTAGACCGGTATCCGCCGCGACGGCCTAGCCCTAACAAAAGAAAGCACTACGGCCCGGTACCCTTCACCCCGTACCCTTAGAATGTAGGGTTCTTAATCACAATATTAATCAGAATAGGGTTTGGGGGTCTGTTATAGTATACTTATGATAAGGAGCCTCCAAAATAGTATAGGTAATTATTTAGGTCCCTATATTGCCTTACAGTAGTTTTTGTTGAAAAGCCGAGCCCTAATGTTTAGAACGCTGACCCTACACTTGGAATCGAAGTGCTTAGCGCTTGCGGCTAAGAGCCCTGAACTACTGTACCACATGACAGGAAAGACGGTGCCAACAGAGTCTGTCTCTCTGCGTTCAAGCAGGGGCTGCCATGGTTTCGGGTTCAAGGTTTAGGGGTTTAGGGTTTAGGGTTTAGGGGTTAGAGGTTTAGGGGTTTAGGGGTTTAGGGGTAGGGGTTCAGGGGTTTAGGGTTTAGGGGTTTAGGGTTTGGGGCTCAGGGTTATACTCCTGCTAGGATACTGGAAAAGCAAGGCAATCTTTGATCCCTCTGTAATGTGTGACAAGAGCCTTTCTTCCCGACGGAGTATCCATATCTGTATACTGAACCCGTAGGCCCTTAATCAAATGCCCTTGGTGTTCAACCTGGACGCACCCCTTCAAAGACGCTTTTAGTCCAATATTTCAGGGCACTATACTATTGCAGTTGAAAGCACTCGCTCGGATCCCTTTAAATACTAATCCAGTACTAACGAAGCCTTTACAGGAACCCTTCCGAAGAAGTCTTTGCGGAAACCCTAAAACGCTAACCCTCGAAACCCGCAAAACCCGCTAAGGGAACCCTCAACCCCTAAACCCTAAACCCTAAATCCTAAACCCTAAACCCTAAACCGTTCCCGAAGGCCCTGCCAGGGAGCCCTACATTCAAATCCATCACATTCCCTAAAGGAGCCCTGAAACCCTGCAGTAACCCTTCAAAAGAACAGAGCCCTTAAACCCTATAGCGACCTTGAACGGAAGCCATTACAGGGAGCTCTACATTCAAGTCCTATAGCCAACCCTGAGCACTAAACCTTGAAAGCAGCGGAGCTCTAACCTTAGAACTTTAAACCCTAAGCCCTAAACCCCTACACCCCTAAACCCTATACCCGAAACCCTAAACCCTCTACCTTGAAACCCTGCTTTTTTTTGGATCCCAGGTTCACAGTTCTCGCTCCGGGCAGCTTGCGGCCCAACGTGTGCTGGCAAGCAGTCCTTTAGGGGGGGTTTAGGGTTTAGGAATTTAGGGGTTTAGGGTTCAGGGCTTGTGGGCCGACGTAGTTTGAGGATTCCGGATGCAGAGTTTATATTCGATTTATGGTAGGGTCTAAGGGTTTAGGATTTCCGTTTTAGGGTTGCGGTTTGTAGCGTTTCAGGGGTTTCAGGGCCTTCGAATCTAATCATACAGTCTTTGAAGAAAGACGCCCCTGAGATAGAGGAGTAAGAATTTGAAGAGCGAGCCGGGCGTGTGTTGCGGTCACCGATTTGCGAAACCTTAGGCTGGAGTCTCTCAGTGCTAAATCCTAAGTTTAGGGCTCATAGGGTTTAGGGCTTAGGGCTCATAGGGTTTAGGGCTTAGGGGTTTTAGGGTTTAGGGCTCATAGGGATT